CTCTGTGTCTGTCTGTCTGTCTACCTACCTACCTACCTACATCTCTATCTCTATCTATCTATCTATCATCTATCTATCTATCTATCTATCTATCTATCTATCTATCTATCTATCTATCTATCTATCTATCTATCTATCTATCTATCTATCTATCTATCTATCTATCTATCTATCTATCATTTCTACAGTATATCATTTAGTAAAAAAAATAAAAAAAATGTAAGAGATTTTACATCTGCAATATTTCTCCACCTTCCAGCATTTGGTTTGGCTCCTTTTACAGTGAAAGGGTGCCATTTTGACATTGAGGTAAGCATCACAGTTTAAGTATGGATCTTAACCTATCGCAGCTACAGTTTTTATGTACTTTGAAGGAAATTGAGATAAGGTATATACTTCTGCTTCTGCCCAGCAAAGGCCAAATTGAAATCCCCAGTCCTGGGGATTTCAATTTGGCCTTTGCTGGGCAGGAGCAGAAGTATATACCTTATCTCAATTTCCTTCAAAGTACATAAAAACTGTAGCTGCGATAGGTTAAGATCCATACTTAAACTACTTTGTCGACAGAGGCTGTGATTTATACATGTGGTGTCCTTTGAACATGCTGGTCTGAATATTAAAAGAATGTAAAATGATTTCCAAATTCATAGGACTTAGTCGGAGAACAATAAATTCTATGAAAAGCAATACAAATATAAATAAGTTATACAAAGGAGATGCAAAGAAACATCATAACTCTTATGCCAAGAATCAGAAAATCTGCTCCAGCAGTGGATGGTGCTGAATTTAGAATATATAACTTTATGGAAATAAGGCATATGAAAGATGACTGTAGGATTGTGATTCAAATCTAAATTCAATCAGATTTTCCAGACTGGCACCTTCAAATTGTGTTGGGATGATAATTCCATGGATTTTCTACCAACTAGTGTAATTGCACATGGACATGTTCTACCTCCCACTCATGATCCTAATGCCAGCTTAGATGCTGGCATGTGGCCTTCAAACAGATGTTCTTTTGCTGTAGTCTACTTCACAGAATTGCCTTGAGAGTAAATGAGAGGGACAGCAGTGTTCAGTCAATTATGGGCATCCTGTACAAGCCATGATTACATCACTGACGACATGATATCATTGCACAGGTGAGAATCATAGGATTCCGTCACTGACACAATGAGATCATGATAGNTGGCATGTGGCCTTCAAACAGATGTTCTTTTGCTGTAGTCTACTTCACAGAATTGCCTTGAGAGTAAATGAGAGGGACAGCAGTGTTCAGTCAATTATGGGCATCCTGTACAAGCCATGATTACATCACTGACGACATGATATCATTGCACAGGTGAGAATCATAGGATTCCGTCACTGACACAATGAGATCATGATAGACATCACCTCACTTTTGTGCATTGTTGAGGCTGAAGATTCAGAAAAAAACCCCTTTCTGATGCATAAATTCCTGCTCAAATGTACGCTGTGTTGTATCCAATGGAGTTTAGTGAGTACTTAAATTTGACAAAAATCAAAGCTGTTATGTCATCTGATTATAGAGAATCTGCTGGGCATTAGAGGGGTAACTTCAGCAAATAAGCCCAAATTTAACACACTCATTCACAAACATACACATACACACAGAAGGATAGTAATTATTTCATTGCACAGTCTTCGTTCTCACTGGTGCATGATGTCGCAGTTAATAGAACAAATGTTTCGCGAGTGAGCAGAAGCCACAACAAATTACTCTGCGTGATTAGTTTGATTATTTTAACAGCTTTGTTGAGCGCAGCCTGACAATCGCTAGAACTGTGGCAGGCGTTAAAAAAATAATAATAATACAGCATGATTGATTGCGGATTCCACTTGCTCGCTTGTATGTTGTAATTGTTAATGTCACAAGAGCACATCGGCAACAAGTGCTGCAGCTGGTTATAAATCACTGGAAAGTCTTTTTCAAGCACTGTATTGATTTTCTCGTGTCTACATGTTCTCGTGTACACTTCTCCCGGGTAAAAAAGCCAACGGTAAAACTGATGTAGATAAAATACTGTCCTGTTTGTTAAGGTTAGTAAAATGAAAGTCTATTAAAAAATTGAGAAGGAAACCAAGTTTAAGCACCAACTGCCTAATATTACAGGCTACCTTATGCTTAATTTCTTTGGACAATATTTGACTTTACGTAATGTATAGGATCTAGGTTAGAGATTGGGATCAGCGAGAACTTCTTGTCCAGGATGCTATTACGTGAACTTCTCATAGGTAATTTGTGAAGTGCATCAAATCACTGCATGACTCCTGCAGACCGTGTGGTGCAATGTTTTCCATCTCCACCTGTCTGGTTAGGGTTGACAGCTCTTCCAAGGATGCTTACATGATATCCTTGATCCTGTCCATCTGTGGTTTTTTTCTTCATCTCCTTGTCTCAACCTCACCAAATCAGTTCTTTCTTCTAGCATGTACTATGTCCACAGAATAATAGAATTATAGACCTGGATGTCTAATCTAACAAATCTAAACTTAAACATCTTTTCAAGTCTATGCTTGGGCAGCTCAAATGCTCTTCCTATACTTTTAAGTTTTTAGCTCTGCCTTTCTGTAATTTTAGGCATTATTCCTTGTTCTACAGCAGGGGTGTCAAACTGCCGGCCCGCGGGCCGGATGCGTCATGGTGAAACCGCGCCCACCCCATTGCCGGCAATGGAAAAAAGTCGCGATACGTCACAACACATCACGTGACGTTGTGAGTTTGACACCCCTGTTCTACAGTCTTGGATGTCTCTGGTTTCTCCTCAATCATCTTTATCTCAGTTCCTTCAATTTTGATTCAGAGAAGCAAAAAGCTGGCTAAATTTCATGAAATGTCACGGATCTCTCATCTCTTGAAAGCTGATGTGGGAACTATCTCAATATTGTTGGCATTCTGATATGAGATCTTATGAGACTTCACCTATTGTGATTTTAAAAAAAAACACCCTTATATTTTATTTTGGAATATGTATCAAGGCCTCTTGGGATCCTGTATTGCTAATTTCCAATTTTGAAAAAGGACACAAGAGAAGGCATTGCTTATAAGCAAAGGCACAGAACAAACAATCCAGGATTTAGCTGGATCAATGCTCTGTTAATGAAAATATCTAAAAGGACTGCCAGCTGGTATGTTTTACTTTCTGCCACAGAACAGCTGTGTCTCTGTTTCAACTGGAGATAACAGAATAACAGAGTTGGAAAGGACCTTGGAGGCCTTCTAGTCCAACCCCTGCTTGAGCCCAAGACCCTATACCAGGGGTAGTCAACCTTGGCTCTTTTATGACTCGTGGACTTCAACTGGGAGTTGAAGTCCACGAGTCATAAAAGAGCCAAGGTTGACTACCCCTGCCCTATACCATTTCAGGCAAATGGATGTTCAGTCTCTTCTTAAAAGCCTCCAGTATTGGAGCTCCCACAACTTCTGGAGGCAAGTCGTTCCACTGGTTAATTGTCCACATATTCAGGAAATTTCTCCTTAGTTCGAGGTTGCTTCTCTCCTTGAATAGTTTCCATCTGTTGCTTCTTATCCTGACCTCAGGTGCTTTGGAAAATAGGTTGCCCCTCTTCTCTGTGGCAGGACTTCAAATATTGGAACATTGCTATCATGTCCCTACTAGTCCTCCTTTTCACTGGACTAGACATCCTGCAATTGTTCTAAGCAGGGCTTTT